TATTGGCTGTACTTTAATTAGTTGCTTTCACTGCCCATTCCTTCTTTTTTGTCAATATGGTATTTCATCTGTCCCTACAGAACCCATTTTCCTTGCCTTCTAGGATCTCTCTGAAGTTTCCAACAGGCTTTTTTTTAGTGTTGACTAAATAATTAATTATTTTTTATCTGAAAACGTTGCCACTCACTATTCATATCCTTTTGGATCATTAATAAATTTAGGCCTAACCACGCAGTAGCCTAATAACACTGCGCAACTCATCTCTATTTTATAAATGTCTTTGTGCATACAAAGCAAGCGGAGCACTTCTGTTGAACAATTTCTTTCTAAATTCTGGTATCAGATGGACAATATAACCTGAAGCAAACTCTACTAGGGTCCTACTAAAGTGTTGGCATCATCATTTTTAAAAAAACTTTGTGTAAATTGCTTTTCATAAAAAGGTATTTCCTTATGTTAAGAAATCCAATGCTCTCTTTAAGAAACTGAAATTACCAAGACAAAAGCCAATGAAAATTTCCTTTTGTTTTGTGTTACCAGAGCACACAGCAGGGAAGCTGAAAAACAATATTTCAAAATGCCTTGCTGCACATTTCAGTGGAAATGAAGTGATTTGCAGGTGCCTTTCCTTGTCTGAATGTGAAAAGCACGGGTAACTGCAGATGGGCTGTGCATGGGGGAGCAGGGAGTCAGTGAAGGATTGGAAATTTCAGGTTGAAATGTTTCACTTAAAATCCAAGTTGCACAGACATTATGGAAATATTAGGTTTGTCTGTTTTGCAGATGATAAGTTTGATGATGCAAACAGAAGACAGTCAACAGAGAGATTTTCATACTGTTGGAATGATGACACTTTCCTATAGATTACAGGGTAAAATTGTAAAGGCCTCTAATATTTATTTTTAGAGTGACTTTGTATTTAGGAGGTTAAGTCCTAATGAATTTCAATGAGGCTTAGTTTTCAAAGTTTTTTTTGAAAATGGGATTTAGATTCTAAAATCCCTGGGCAAGATTCAAAGTGCTTCTTTAGGCACCTAAATGGGACTTAGACAAAGTTTGGGTAACTAAATTTTAAATAACAATTCAAAATGGCATTATGCCAGCAGCCACAAAATTCATGAGAAATCCCCATGCTGGACTTCAGACTTCTCTAGTTACTTATAATACAATCTCTGACCATGTGCAGCAGTGAGTATGGGGAAGTGCTTAGGCAGGCCTCAGCATTATGTTCCAGCCTAAGTTTTGCTGCAATTAAAATACTGCTAGGAAGCATCTAGGCTCCACCTAAGTACCTGGAGAGACTTCCACCATCAGGAAGAATAATAATTTAGCCTAACAGCATTGACTTTAGCTTGAAATGAGTGGTGGCGATGCCAACCTTTTATCCAATAACTCTGTAGTTAGAGTATGTGCTCAAGAACTGGAAGGACACAAGTTCTAGATCCTCTTTACTCTGACAAGATTTGAATTTACAGCTCCCACTACCAAGAGAGTGCCCCAACCACCAGGGTCTGAGCCAGGCTAGGCTGAGGCTCATCCATCTCTCCTTTTGAAACTGGGCCACTGGACAGCCAAGAGTGTGAAAAACTTGAGGACAGAAGGAGAACAGGCGACAGGGAGCCTGGCTCTATGGTTTCCTCTTAGCCCAGTGGTTATGGCCCTCTTTAAGGAGCAGGGAAACCTTGGGGTCTGGTATCTACTGCCAGGGTTATTTCTGTTTTTAACCAATGACTGTCTAATGTAAAATGTATAGATACGTCTCAGAGCAGGGGCCACAACCCAGGACTACCCCCTCCCACTGGAGTGCTGTAGCTAATAGACTACAGATGTAAACTTCCTTTTGCTTGTTTCTGGGACTCTTGCACTTAGAAGTTTGTGAGTATCAGCAGAATTTGGGCTCTGAGCACTTTGGTGGCCTGAGTTTTGTGCTTGGCCACATGGAGAAAGTCAGTCACCTGCAGGATTAAACGGTAACAAAATGGCATTTTGGTGCCTAGCTCCCTTTGGGCATGCCCACACTGTGGTGGCAGGGTGCTGCTGTTACCATGTCTCTCATCTTCCCACCCAACATGCTCCAAAACCAGAAAAATACTGAAGAGGCTGCGCCAGGGCATCACTGTGGCTGGTCTTGAGACTTTTTGGCTTGGATGTGCTTGAAAGCAGCAGCTAGGGTGACTCTGGAGTGGCCTGACCCGCAAATCTCTGGGTTTGGCATGTGTGCAGCAGGTAGGTCTGCCATGTTCAGGAACATTGGAGCTGGGGGATGACACCGTCATGGTGCAGACATGCCTTTTGTGGATGATGATGCATATGTTTCAGAATAAAGGAGTCACCATTATAATGTCCTTATTTATCAACACATATCTATATATAAATATGGGGAAATATACTAGTTTCTTAAACACAACCATGTGAATTCAAATACAACTGTCTGAAATATATTTTGTTTGTATAGTTTTGACTTGATAAGATGTAAATGTTTTCTAAGAGCAGGCCTTTTTATTTTACAAAAAACCACAGGAATAAGTTTTAGAATTGTATGTGTCCCCTTTTTCATGTATCCCCCTGCCTGTAAGACAATTATTCCAGTTATTCTATCATTATGCATCTCAGGAGCTTACAAGGATGTACATCTCCCCTCCGATTAATATAAAACTCTTATTTCCATGTCTGATGGATCACAGGTTATTGGTCCTTAAACCCATCCCTAGTACATGACTAAATGTCCTGTGGCTTTGGGCAGTATGCATTTTAGGGCAATTTCTGTAATTGGGTAGAAAAAAAAGGAAACCATCCTTCCTGGCAGGTTTATTACATTCTATTTTTTAATTTAGAAAAGATCCTTTTGAAGCTGTTCAGAGATTTGCAATGTAGAATAAATCCAGGTTAAAGTGGATTACAGCACTGAGAGCAGATGAAGTGATCAAAGGCACATGACCAAGACAATCCATCATGTTGTTATCTCCTTTTTGAGCATGGTACATATTTTAATATGCATGTTGGAATTTTCTCAGTATATGACATAAGATATGATGTTTTCTAACAGATAATACGTGTGTTATTATACTGTGCCTTTAGGCTAGGGAAAATGTTACACATAAGCTGGTTTAAGTGATCAGGAACCAGTTTAAACCTGTAACAGAACAGAAGTTCAGTGCACATAAACAAGTTTCAGAATGGCTGAAACTGGTTTTAAGTAAACCTGGTTGAATGTAGCATTAGACTTAACTGATTTCAGTCAAACCAGTTTATGAAACTTCTGTCCCAGACCCTTTTCTGGTTCATATTAAATCAGAGTCCCCCAGCATTTTGCAGCCCTGGGCTTGGCTTTGCTGTCTGCTCCAGAGAGCAGGGCTGGCCCCGCCCCTCTGTTGCCTAGCTGGAGCAGGGAGGGCTGGCTCAACAGCCTCACTGGCTGGCTCACTGGCCATCCCAGACAAATCCCTGCTGGGGTCTGGAGCCAAGGAGGGGACTTAAACTTCCCTTCCCCCAAGTATGGAGTTGCCCTGCCTTGCTTACTTAGTGCTGGCTGCAACTGTGGATTACAAATCCCAGAGGCACCTGGAAGTAGGAAGAGAAAGTGATGAGCAACCCTGCAGAGTCCTGCTGCTGTGAGTCTGGACTGCAAATCTCAGAGACCTTGGGGGCAGCAGGAAGAGGAAGCAAACACACAGACCATGCTGGCTATGTGCCAGAGAGCCATGCTTTAGCACTGCCTGGCTTCTGACCTGAGCTACTGCAGATATGTGACTGCACTTCCTGAATCAAAGGTGAAAGTCTGTTCATTTGCTTTTTTGGTTCAATCTTTGCATTTTAGACTAAACTGCAAAGACTGAATCAATTCAGCCTCAGGCTTTTTGACTGTCTGTACTTAGCCTAACAGAACAGAAGTTCAGTGCACTTAAACTGCTTTCAAAATGGCTGGAACTGGTTTAAAATAAACCTAGATGGATGTAGTATCAGAGTTAAGTGATTTAGGTCAAGCTGGTTTATGGAAGTTCTGTCCTAGATCCCTTCAACTTAACTCACAGTCCTCCAGCATCCCAGGATGCTGTCCAGACCTGGGCTGTGCTCTCTGCTCCAGCAGAGCATGGCAGCCCCACCCCCAGCTGTAAGATCCCTGGCAGCCTGGAGCCTGATGGATTCCCCCGGCTCTGCCATCTCCTCCACCGGGGGAACTGGCCTGGCTTCCAGCTGGGTTAGGGGGAGTAAAGTCCCAACTGCAGGCTTCCCTGTATGCTGGGCACAGCTCGGCTGGGGGTCTGGAGCTGGGGGGGCCCACCAGCTGAGGAAGTGGTGTGGCTGGGTGATTGCCCTGGCTCCCAGCTTGGGTGGGGGTAGTAAAAAAAAAGCCCATTGGTGGCTCTCCCCCACATCCCTGGCACAGCCCAGCTGGTGGTCTAAAATAGTGGGAGGGAAGGCAGCTATTCCCCCCCTCCAAATCCCCTCTTCAGCCTGCCTGCTGGCCAGGGAGAGGACATGGCTGGGTCATTGTCCAAGCTCCCCATTTCTGGCTCAGCTGGGGGGAGTAAAGCTCCCACTTCAGGCTCCCCCCACTCTGCATCAGGCACAGCCCAGCTGGGGGTCTACAGCCAGGGGGAGGGGGGCTGTTTCCCCCCACCAACTCCCTCCTCAGATGGGCCCACCAGCCTGGGAGGGGATGTGGCTGGGTGATCACCTCTGTGATTGCTTCAGCTCCAAGACTGGGGGGGAGTAAAACCCCCACTGCAGGATTCCCCACAGCCAGGAGCTGTGACTATCACCTGGCCATGCCCCCTCCCACCTGGCTGGTAGGCCAGCTGAGGAGGAAGTGTGGGGTAGGAGGGCCCTCCCATCCGGCTCTGGACCTCCAGGCAGGCTGTGGTCTGCATGAGGGAGAAACCCGCAGTGGAAGCCATTTTACCTTCCACCCCCCCACAGTGGGAGCTTTACTCCCCTTGCCCAAGCCCAGAGCTGGGGTGATCACCTGGCCACTCCTTGGCCAACAGGCTGGCTGAGGAGGGAGTGGAAGGAGAAAAAATGGCCTCTACTTCAGGCTTCTCCCATGTCCTGCACCCAGCACAGCCCAGCTAGGGGTCCAGAGCTGGTGATGGGGGTGTTTCCCACCCCCCACCCACTCCCTCCTCAGCTGGCCAGCTGGCCAAGGAGAGGGTATGGCCAAGTGATTGGCTCAGCTTCAGCTCTGGGTGAGGGGCAGTGGGGGAAGAGAGGGAGAAACATCCTTCTTGGGGCTTCCCTCTTCCCCCTTTACCCTCACACTGGGGAGACCCCAGCTGAGGGTCTGGTACAGGGTGGGGGGGTTCCCTCCACACCCCCTCCTCAGTTGGCCTGGACTGAAGAGGGGTTGCTGCTAAGGGAACCAGCTCAAAGCATGGAGGAGAAAAAGAGAAATGCTTCACTGGGGGCTTGACCTCTCCCTCTTCCTCGGTACCAGGGAGACCCTGGCTAGGGGTCCAGTCGGGGGTGGGGGGTTTCCTCCCATGGCCCCTCCTCAGCTGGCTGGAGGCTGAAGAGGGAGCATGGCTGGGGAAATCACCTGTCTCCTGGCTCTCTACAGTGGCTGGCAGGCTGGCAGGAGTGCTCTAGTGCACGCCCCCTGCATGGACCACTGCAGGGATCTGGCTGCATTTCAGGTTTGAAAAGTGAACATCGGTTCACTTTCTTCTTGGTTCAATCTAGGCAGTTTACAGAAACCTACAAAAATTGAATTGATTCAGCCTTGAGCTTTTTGAGTATCTGTACTTGGCCTCATAGAAAAATTTCACTGGTTCTAGTGAGGAAAGGATTTCACTGTGCTGCATAACATTTCAGTACATCTGAAGTAAGTATCTCCCAAAATGAATGATGTTGTTAACAATGGTATTCACTCATGCATGCACCTTCAGAATTAGAATCTGAATCTCTTGGTTAAATTTAGTACATGATCTCTGCAAGTCAATAATTAAAAGATGCTGGCTAATATTCACTCCCTAACAAGGTGACGAGTGCGCGCTTCTTAAATTCGTATGTACTGATTTGCAGAGAAACAGTTTAGATGGAGATGCTAACAAGTTGAGAAACCTGTCTTTTTCAATGAATGAACAAGAAAATGTCATTTCTGCTAAGAGTCCTAGGGAGCCATCCCTTTATGATTATCCTATAAAGTGATAGTTTTCTGACATTTACAAAAATATTTAATTTATAAAATGGGAAGTCATGAAAAAATAACTCACAGGCTGTCCAGGTTCATCTCCTCCCAGGATTCTGAAGCCAAATCCAGACTCCATCCTCCGAAGGTGAACATCCAGCTCTTTGTAATCTGGACCTGGTTTAAAAGGAGATACCAGTGAGTAATGTGTTTGTATTTTCCCTTGAACAACCCTGTGATTTGTATATTGAAAATGATTAATGAATCCTGTTACAGCGGGTGAAAACTGTAATGAAACATAGTACATTGCACCCAGACAAAGAGAAGACACAGGCACTTAAATATGAGGCTATATCAGAAGATGATGACATGCAGTAAAGGACACTGACCCCAAACTAGAAAGCTGTCACATGTGAATAGTATGAGAAAAATTCTGTCCAAGATACAAGGCCTGGTATGCTGCCTTCTTCCTATAACTGCCTTTGCATTGTGTTTTGTTGGTTGGCACACTGACCATGTCTACACATGCGGCAGATTGCGCAGTTGTTACTGTATAGTCATTTAGTACTTGCATGAGCAAATACTGAAAAACTGTGCAGTAACCGGCATTACTGCACAGTACCATCACCGCATGGTTTTTGCTCGATGCGACTGTGCAGTAACTGATTACTACTGTGCAGTATTGCCACCACATGGTTAGTGCCCAGCAACACTACTGTGTGGTAGCAACAAGCTATGGCGCTGTAGCTCATTGCTATGGCACCATGGCATCTCGTGTAGATGTGCCCAGTGATGCCCTTTACTTTGTAACTTCATTATAATTCATTAGAACAGTAATCTTCAGTGGGAGCTAGACATATATGAAAAATTATCAGATCCAACTACAAGCCAACAGTTAAATAACCCTTACAGAAAAATAATATTTTGTCCTATACATGGGTATAAAATAGTACAGTATTTGATACATTTAATAAAGAATGTCATTCTTCATTCAATAATACATTGAATAAAGAATTTCAATGAAAGCTGTCAAGATCCTAAAATTTTGGGGTTTAAATGGAATGCTAAGAAAAACATTAACTTAAACACTTTTCTGCTGTTTCAATTAAAGGCTCAACGGCTTTATAAATCATTAAACTCTGCTTTCAGATGACTATAACTTGGCTATAAAAATATGTTCTATGCTAGAACCTGTCATACAAGCTTCTAGCTCAAGAACACTTTGCATTTTTTACATGAAACTCTTAGAGAAATAGCTTATTTTAAAGTTAGTAATGTACTGGGTAAAAAAAAATACTAATTTAGAATTTCAGACTTGCATGCACTCATCACTTAGCATTTTAAAGAAAATACAGTAAAATAGTGAGCACTCAAGGGACTGACTAATATCGGCTGCTTTAACAAAGATGGTCATCTAGTCAATATCTTGGTAATAAAGTGTGATGCTTACCTAAAACAGGGGTCTCCTGAACACATTTCATTATAGTCCATAAGTTGGGATAATGCTTTTCAGCATTTTCAAGCCTGTTACATCATGGACTTCCAGATTCATACTGTTTGAGTTCTTTATTTGTCAAAAGTGGTTTTGCACGCTAACTTTATTCCCCCCCCAATTGTAACTTGTAAAATTCTATATTGTGCCTTCAGGAAGTGGAGCTTTAGGTGAAGTAGGTTAAAGATAGTTGATCTGAAGATTCCTGGGTACTAATAGTTACAGGATCCCATAGTGGGCTGTCTTTAGACTATGGCACCACTCCAAATCTTCATAGCATCACATGAAGTAGGCCTTAGCCTTGCCCTGATGCACTCATCTTCCCCCAAACCAGAGCTCTCAAGGGGCATATGAAGTTACAATGCTGGTTCTATAGTACAACTGTGCTGGATAAATTCTCACCAGACCATTAGGACATATTAGAGGGCCCTCTACACTGCTGGAATAGTTCATTGGAATATTTTTGGGAGACAGAGACTGTTCCAAGAAATATTAAGAGGGCCACTAGTTGCAAATGAGAAGAAAGAGCTTCAACAATGTATGAAAATAATTGGCATCATGGTCCATTGTGGGTCTGATCCTAACCCTTGAAGTCAGTGAGAGATGTTAACAGTCTTGGTATCATATCCCTAAGGAGTCAGTCTTTTGATTGAAGGGCACATAAGGATCCCTGCATCTGCATGAGTTCATACTTATGGCAAGAGCAGGGCTTAACTGTCTACTGATCCCCACTGTCTCCAAATTAACTAATAATTTCCCATGTGACATTTATCAAATGCTTAACTGAAGTCTAGGCATAATAGACCTACCACATTTCCCTTGTTTAGAAATATCAGGGTTTTTTTTTAACCAAAAAGAAATATCAGATTATTGTAGCAATCCTGAGTTGGTAGATTTTAGAAATTCTTCTCATCAAACTTGTATTTTGATATCCCAGTCCTTTCAATATTTTGCTACGTCAGTTTTCTGCCCATCTTCCCTCTTTGGTCTAACTTTAGTGCCTGCTCTTAAGATTCAGGCTTTGAGCATGGGTTTTTCTGTGAGGGATTGTTACTTATGCTGAATTTTGGCATTTTCCCTGGTGCAGATAGTAATTTCTTTTCATAGTTAAAGACAAAATTTATTTACTTAGAATAAAGCAATACTATTATGCCCTAAGGTCTACTAAACCCTGAATATAAGTATATATTCATTATAGAAAATGCAACTTAGTAAACTAGGTTAACACCTTGCAATCTACCACAAATAAGTAAAAATGGGTAGTTTGTTGCTACAGGAGCAAGGCAGAGACTGAACTATGACAGGTTGCTTCCTGACGCAACATTTTGCTCAAAGCCAACTTGCCTTAGTTACGCGACGCATTCCTTTCTCTCCCTTTATGTGGAAGTTTAAGTAGCTGCTTCGCTGCAATTATTTTTCTGTGCATGAACTAACGATAGAAGTAGCCTGAACAGGGGAATGAGAATGTGTCTTATACTTCCTTACTTTACAGCAACTAACTGTTGGTAGCATGTTATAAAGGTTCAGTGGGAGTAAACTTTTTAATAGAATATTTAGCCTGAAAAAAATAAAATTAACTAGTTGCCAACTTATTAAACTGTCCTGTGATTCTGAGAATTAAATGAGACAAACAGTGATCTCATTGCAACACAGTAAGGGTTCTCCCGAACAATGGGACATTCTGACTGGTGGTTCCTTATGAAATAGATGTGAGTTTTATAATACAAAAATTGCACTTTGGTGTATTGTTAGTGATCACAGAGACCTCATACATGTGAAGGTGATTACCATGTTCCAGTTTATTTTTTGGTATTGTATTCATTCAAATCCCTAGGTGCATTTCAGACTGATAAATGTGTACACATTTTTTTAAGGCATGAGACTAGAAGAGATGCTGTTACAGAAAATGATTGGTTCTTTTATGGATGATTCAATGCCTACAAATGCAAAGAAAGAATTTCAAATTGACCATGTAACTGGGTTAACTTTTTACATGGGATGATGCTGTAAAAACTGCCTTCAGGTTTTTTCTTAAATTTCTTCTACCTCTTAGTTAAAACAGGAACACGTAGTGTTATCATTAAGAAGTTTGCAGTTTTACAGTGTTTATTCAGTTCTCCTGGTACGAGTAAACATGATAAATCTGCAGATAACAGCAAAAAGGTCTACATGACAGATAGAGGACAAATCAGGAACTTACAAATTATTCTTATGAATCATGGTTAATGTAAATGCACAACAAATTTATTGTAGAGTTTCAGGTGTTCTTGAAAAATACAAAAAGATTGAAAACCAGGTATGAACCAAGTCATTTGACATCAGTGGATTTTTTTCTAAAATGCAATCAATTTTGTTCTGTACATATGCAAAGAAAGAACCTAGTAAATATGGGCTGCAGTACAGAAACCAGCAGAGCTAAAAAGGAAATCTGTATCCTCTGGAGTTAATTCAAAAGTCTATATAAAGGGAAATGTATAATCAATCTCTAAGCCCCAAAAGGTGTGGGAAAACAACCTAAATCCCTATTTCTGCAATTATTTAAGCACACAACTAACTTACATGTGTAAGCAGCATTTACTTTAACAACATGAGACTTCAGGAAATTGAACCAATTCTTTCCAAGATGTTGACATTTTAAAAAAATGGATGCTGGTTAAAATGCTGAGAAGGTTCTTATATTTATTTATTATTTTAGAGAAAGAGAGAGAGAGAAATGTTTAGGGATGAAAGAAACCTTTGCATCTGTGTAACCCTTTCTTTCTGCCTTGGCAAAGTTGACTTTGCATTACCTGCAAATATATTCTGTTAGGCCCAGATCCTATTCCATCTCTTTACTGTTGCCAGCCCAGAAAGTGCACGTCTGAACTCAGGGGTATAATCCTATTCTGCCAAGGAAGAGTGAAGTCTTGTGTGTCCCTAGTGGCAATACCTTCCTATGGAAATGCATAGTTCATTCAGGGGATAGGAAGCTTCGTATGACTCTAGAGATTATCCTGTTCTGCCCAGAGGGGCACATGGCTCTCCCTTTCTTTCAGTGGGACAGTGCTTCTGTCAGGTGGGGATCTAACTTGTTAAGAGGGTAATGACTTTTTGAGCTCCAGTCCAGTCTGAGAGCATGTGTTTACCTGAACCATTAAGTTTCACTGACAAATAGCAGCACAGACTTGAATGTAAATTAAAAGGGAGAAGAGACATCCCACTTTTCTCCATTTGCCTAGTGGTTAGGGCATGCATCCAGGAAGTGGGAGACTTGGGTTTTAGCCCCTCCTCAGCCAGTGGAGTTTTGAATCCACATCTCCCACTTTCAGAAAGTGCCTGAACCGCTAGGTAGGGGTCAGCAATGTTTTTGGGCAGAGTGCAAAAAAATACCACAACCTTGACCTGTAAGATGTTGGCATGATGGGGAGGGTGGTGGGGGAGCCGGGAGGACTCTGATCCTTGTTGTGGCAGTGTAGCTGCAGTCCCTTCCCTGCTGTCTGCCCTGAGGTATGTGTGCCAAGTAAAATGCTCTAGCATGCGTTGCCTACTCCTGCCCTAGATTATAGGCGATGCAGGGCACTTCTTCTGTTGAAGGAATATAAAAGTTGTTGAAAGTCATGAAAAGCCAGGAAGCAAGTAAGAGTGAGCCGGACACTACAACCTTGTGAGCTAGACGTTTCTCTGACAAGAAGGGAGCTCCGAGCTCCTAATGCTGTTTATGTATTTTATTCCATTATTATTTAATTCGAAATGTATGAACAGCATTGGGAGCAGAATTCAAGTTCAGTCCTTCCCTTCCAGGAGACTGCCCACCCCAGGCTCCTCTTTGCCCTCCTTTTGGGAGAAAGGCATCTTTTGGTAAGTGGGAGAGGTAGATTCAAATGCTGTCAGGCTAAATTGGTAAATCCCCTTAGCTCTAGCCTTTAAAATTGGCATGAAGTAGATGCAGCCCCCATCATCCTCACTGAGGTGATGCATGCATAACCTTATCATAAGCCAGATGCTCTTTGTGATATTCCTGTGTCCCATGATCAGAAACGTAATTAGTATGGGATGCAATAGGACTTAGGTGGAAGTAGACATTTAGGTACACTTCTGGGAATGTGCAGTGGGCTAAGTCTAGTTGCCTAGCAATTGTTTCAGGTCAAGAAGTGCATATTTAGGAAGCTTAGTGGTTTTGTAGCTGCTGAATGAAGTGGACTAGAACTGCAATTAGTGACTCTGATGCTTAAAAGACACCAAGAGTGCCATTTAAATGTCTTCTGGGCGGAACAGGATCTGTTTAAACTTTTGGCATTAGATAAAGGAATATTATTTATGTTACTACACTAGGTGACCAGCACAAATAATATCAAACTCTGTTAATCAAAAGCTATCAAAATCTATAGGAGCAAGAGATTTGGTGTGTAACACTGTCTAGCCTATAACTGAGTAGCAAACTGAAAAGCTGTACTATACAGAATGGTGATTGGACACTTGCGATTGGCCATAACCTGGAGCAATGATTAAAGGAGGAAAAGTTACTTAAACATAAAATGGAGGACAATTATTTTACAGAACAATGAAGGCTGAAGAATACTTGCCAGAGGAATCCATTCGAAAACCAGTCCTGGGCGGCACTTGCTCTGAATAGGAAAATGGGGAATTAAAGATGAAATACATTTCTCAAGGTATTTTAAAGATGTAGCACCATCTTCTCTATGGTGGTCTGACTTACTAAAGTGAAATCAATAATTGTTATTAGCTATGTTTTCCCTCAATTTCTAGGTTATAGACATACATATTCTAGCTAGCCATGCATATTCATAGACCTCTCAATTTCCTTCGTAAAGTGCAACAGATAGTAAACTGGTAAAATTACTTCAATGTAACTGAAATTGTAAATGTTAATAAACATTGTACGAGTTAGTAGAAATAGCTATATTTTTCATATACAACATTAAACATTAATAGAAACTTAAACAGCTGAAACTAAAGGACTCATTGAAGTTGATTCTCCTATCACCACCAATTGGAGCAGAAACACGAGAAAGAGAAGTATATTGCAAATACTAGCAGGTGAACCTGGAGCTGAATCCTCTTTTACGGCTCTTTTGTGCATTACAAACTGCTTTAACTGTGAACTTGCACCTTATGATCTCTATTTAATGATTATGCAACAAACCAGGATCCTAGTGACTGGTAAAGAATGGTTGGGTAAATCACATACCGTAAATCATGGTCAAGCTATTCATTCCATAAATGGCTTGCTTTTGATGCTATAAGTGCGCCTTGATATCTCAGAGTGGTTCCCAAACTTTTGGAGCAATTGGCTATTGTTAACTTTCCAAATTTCTTGCAGATGATCATACATCCTTATCAACACACTTTTCATTGAAATGAAAAGTGTGGTACAATTGAGAAAGCACTGATTAGACATGTTTGCCACTGCAGTCTGGCATGTGTCATATCAGTATCTGTAGTAGGACTATAGGATTGTTACTTTCTTGAGTCTGAAGAATCTCAGCATGGAAGTATCTGAGAGTTCACACCACCAGATAAACTGGTCTCCTTGATGCAGATATGGTCTATAGCGTGTATTTTAAAAATACATAATAAAAATTGAGGCTAAAAAATAGTATTTTTAAATACAGTGGGACAGAAACCACTGGAGCAAACAACCTGGTTTCTTAGCTACAAGTCTTTTAAAAATATATATACTCAACTCACTTTTGGACACTTTGGAGTAATGCCTAAAAATGTGTAATCTCTTACACTGGTTTCAGTGTTCTTTGTTTTCCTAGGAGTGCTATATAATCTATCTTCAAGGGGTGTTTGGGCCCCCTCCAGCATGAACTATGAAAGGTTTTAACTACCACTGTTTTACCTAAGCAGACTAGAGTTTTTGGGAAGAGGTGATTAAGAGAAAGCAGGCATACTTTCCTGCCACTCTCATCCTGAAATAACCCATCAACAGTTGAAAACTTCCTCTTTTAGTCAATATTGAATAAATATTCCAGGATCAAAATCTTTTCCAGCGGGGGAAGAACTGAAGTCATTTGAGAACATATGCTATATTTTTACAAGAGTAGGAAAAGAGATGGGGATAAGGGGATTGCTGGGACTAGGGGGTC